ATCTAGTAGCAGGTCACATCTCCTCAAAGTCACCAACAAGTGGGGTCCATATTTTTTTTTTCTCCAAGACAGGCATCGATGCATATGAGCTTTTGTCAATGCTAGATTTTCCTGATGCTTCAATTCCTTCCTGCAGCGTGTGAGCATCAATAATGAAACGAAAAAATTTGAGAGGTTTGAAGCATCAGTAAAATAGCACACTACTGTGGATAGTCAAATAACTCCATCTCACCGTATCTATTTGGCCAGCCTCTTCATACAGTATTTTGATAGCGACGCATGTCCCTTTTACAATAGAGAATAGTATTCATATAGCACTTCCACTTAGGGTTTTTGACATGAGGTCTATGTATGTATCTCACACTAATCCGCACAAAGTAGCGGCAATTATACTGAGTCACCTCCAAACATTTTCAGTCAATTAAGGCGTGAATGTAAACTTTTTTGTTCCAGGTTCCAACTTTTGATGTAGGGCGTGTGTATATCTAGTTATACTAATTTGCATAAAGCAGCAAACAGTCGTAATGAGTCATCTCCAAAAAATTATAATCAATTCTGTTAAAATGTTAGAGGTGTGAAGGTGAGCTTTTCAAAGGGGGGGTTTACAACGTTTCGACATAGGATCAACGATAGTCAACATAATTATAATAATTTGAGTTATTATTGTATCAGTATTATATAGATTTGGACTTAAAAGAAATTAGGTTAGGTTGGATTCACTATTACAGAATCAATTTGTAGCAACAGGCCCCTTTTTGTAGGTACAGTGGTCGTATCTGGGACCCATTGGGCCAGCCGTCCCTACAAATCGAACAGTAGGGGCGGCTGGTGATACGAGCCACCCCTACAAATGGGTCGATTTGTAAGGGCGGCTCATTCACCAGCCGCCTCTACTGTTCGATTTGCAGGGGGCTCAATCACCAGCCGCCCCTACAAAGCCCCCAGTACAAAGGGCCGACGCCTCCCTTCTTCCTCCTCGGACCAGTTACTGTAGGCCAAGAGTGGAAGGAAGGGGGGCCTTGGGCACCTCCCAAAAATTGCTCTTTCAAGGGGGGAGGTTTTGATCTCATTTCCTTTGGTGGAGAGGTTGTAGAAGGTAAGAAAATGCTATTCCAAACATTTTTTTAGAAGTTTTAATTGTTGGTTAGTGAGTAATTAGGGTTTTGCTTTTCTCTCTCTTCTATGGTGCTTGAACCATTTATGAAGCAAATTAGACCAATGTTTTGAAGGTTCTAGGGTAAATTAGTTAGTGGAATAAGATTACACCCTTATTTAGTGGGTTTTGCTTGATTTTAGTGGTTTATTAGTTAGTTTAATGGATGTGTCATGTAGATCTAGATCGAGCTAGGGTTTGCTTTTTTATTATTAATTATATTTTTGCATGAAGGATAGTGTGTAAAATATTAATTGTTGCTAATTATTGTCTTTGAAATTGTTTGTGATTGTAACTAAGATATTAAAGTGGAGAATTAAATATATATTTTTAATTAGGTCATTAATTGTTCTCTAGAATGGTTTTCCAGGAAACTGCTAGTTATATATCTGTGAATAATTAGTCCTTTTTTTTCTTTGATAGCTGTCGTATAAGATGGAGTATATGCATTCTTGGATGTATGGTACATTAAGGTACAAGCCAGGTTTCCGTGAGGAAGTGGATAAATTTCTTGAAGCCACAAAGAACTATGCAAAGGCGTTGAAAGAGAATAAAGATTCAATTATTTGTCCGTGTAGAGATTGCAAGAATCATAAAGCATTCAAAGATGTGACAATCATTAGATCACACTTGATTATGCGAGGATTTGTTAAGGACTACACAGTGTGGATTCATCATGGTGAAACGGTTGTTGACGACGTTGATCCAGAAGAAGATGACGCCGAAACCCTAGGTTACCTGGACCAATATGTAGCAGAGCTTGGTGCACAAATGGCTAATGATTACCTTGAGCAAGGTGGCGATGCTGGTGGTTGGGACGGTAACGCCGAAGGTGGTGCCAATAATGATGGCGGAGCATGTGTCGGTGATGAAGATGATGATGATGATTTGGAGGACATGCTTCGGTCCATTGGACCAGAGATTTTACTAAAGAGCCTGAAAGGTTTAGAAAATTTGGAAAGGGTGAAAAAGCATCAAAGGAGACTGTGTATGGTGTTGAAAAGGGTTGTCTGAAACACTGGACAGTGCTACGATTTGTGCTTGAGCTACTCATCCTGAAGGCTAAGTACAGCTGGTCAGACTGTAGTTTCAATGATCTATTGCGTCTTCTGTCATGGTTGCTGGCACAACCAAACTCAGTTCCCGCCAACACATACCAAGCGAAGAAGGTTATAAATCCATTGATAGTGGGGGTTGAAAAAAATCCATGCATGTCCCAACCACTGTATCCATGCTCTAAAGCAAATGGGAGAGTCATTCCGACGTTGGAAGTCAGACCTCAACAAGAGGTTTATCCAAAAGGGGTTAACCCCCTTCTACGAGTTGGGCCACATAACTCCTGTACAACACTATGGGTATCGGGGGTCATGCCCCCACAATGATCAAGTGTCGGCAAGCAATTGACAAGGAACACTCAAGATGAAGTTATTAGTTGTTATCTTTTATTCTCGAGTTTAGGTATGCATCACTGAACTAATGAGAAGTTAAAGTGCTTAAGCAAACTCTTGTGACAAACCTTAAGAGAGTGAGACAGAGTTCGTTAGAGCCAACTAGTGTTTGGGCTAAAGCTATGCAAAACTAATCTATCCTAGTTTGGCACTGTAACGACTAGTTTATCCAAAATTGGTCTAGCCAAGTTTGGATACCAACCTAGCCGGATTTGTCTGATCAGCCTCCAATGACTAGTTTTTTGAGAGAAAGCTTCATATACCTCTTCCTCTCCCCTTGGGCTGGTTGTTGTTGCATTCGAAACTCTATACACATCCAATAGCTAGTGCTTCTTCTATCCCAAACCTCCCTTCGTGCCTGATAGGTGATATAAAGTAAAATCCTAAGTTTGGGTTGAGAGTATTGAAAGTGTGAGAGCCTTAGTATCCTTGAGCTTGTGTGACATTGAGAGAGCTGTCAAAGCCTTGAGCACTTGAGCAAGTCAAGATTTTAGTTGAAGCATTTGTCACTCTTGGAGGTGAAGCCTCCTAGGTGGCTAGGCGTCACTAGTGGGCACCCAAGTTTGTGGGGTGCTGCGGGAAGTTTGTGCGGGCTGCGATCTTGCCCTTGGAAGGGAAACGATCATTTAGTGGAGCGTGGAAAGTGGTTGAAAGCAACCCTTTGCTAGAGTAGACCCTGGAATGGTCACTAACAGCTTCCACAATTGAGACGTAGGATTCAAGTGGGGATCTAAACTCCATGAAATAAATCTATGTGTCCCCCCTTCTGGTTTGCCTCACATTTGTAGTTACATTGAATATCTTGTGCTCCCGCTTGTGCCTACTTGGTTGTGCATGTTTGTGACTGCATGGATTGTGTGAACTAGTCAAGGAACTCATCAAGAAGTCATATACAGTTTGTCTTGATTTGGAAGAGGTGAAAGACACCTAACAGACTTACTACATATTTTCAGAGAAAGTCGGCCTAGCCAGTATTGTAGGCTGGCCTAGCTGGGTTTGACATACGAACCAACCCGGAAATCTAGCTTAGCTAGGTTTGCAACACGGCGTAGCCGGTTTTGTTTACCTAGAGTTTGTTATTTTTAGTTGCTAATTTCATTTGATAATTTTTCTAAAGCCTATTCAAAAAACCCCTCTAGGCATCAACTCGGTTCTTTTAATTGTTATCAGAGCGAATCACATCCAAGACTTATTATGTGGTCCCCGAAAACAGTGCAAGATTTAGTTAAGTCATTATGTGCTATATTTTGCGACTTGATCGATTAGCAGCCTGTTCGCTTGCTCGTAAACGATCGTAAATTTTCAGCCAGCAACAGTATTTTTCTCTCACATCAAACCAGCCAGCAGTAAATAATCCACGATACGATACAGCCTCTCGAACAGGCTGTAGATCAGCTCCATTAGTGTGAAGGTGACCCGTGGCGGAGCCTCGTAGAGGCGAAACTGGGCGTTGCCCTCCCCTTGCTTCTGAGAAAGGGTACCCTCTGAGAAAAGAGGCGTACACAAGTTTACGAATCCCAGAAGGAAAGACAGGGACTGTGATTTGCAGAGAAGAAAAGACAGGACTGCGCCGCATACTAGCATGAGTACTTCAGCTACGAGCCTACGACTGACCACAGTCCACAGGGGAGAAGAGTGCAGGGGATGGAAAGTTGTGCCTCACTCCCCCACCCACCCACCCACCCACCCACACACACGCACCATTTCGGATTCAGCTCTGGTTTAGTCACAGGGATTTGGAATCTGGGACTATTGTAGAACGTTCGTTTTTATTTATTAATTAGTGTTTAAATATGGACTAATTAGGTTTAAAATGTTCGTCTCGCAATTTCTCACCAAACTATGTAATTAGTTTTTTTCGTCTACATTTAATGCTCCATGCATAAATCGTAAGCATTCGACGTGACAGTAACATTTTTTTGGATTTTAGGGTGAAACTAAATCAGGGCTCACCCTCCGCCACTGAAAGTGACATATAATTGTGGTTTTGTAACTGTCGATATTTCCAGCAAGCATAATGCTTGAAATTGCCACATGAGGCCACGATCCTAGCAGCGACATAGAGACCGAGACCAATAGTTTGGGCACATTTTGGTAAAACAGGCAATATGAAAAGTCGAAGGTACGTTTTGGTTTGACGTTAGCATATTTGCTATTTCGCTATCAGCCTATAGTTTGGGCACACTTGCAGGTAATGTAGAAACTGAAATGGATTTTCTCCCTCGGTTACACTATCACTCATAACTCATAAGAATTAAGAACGCAAGGGATATGCCAATAACTTTTGGATAACACACATATGAACAAACAACTCAATGCAAACATGGGTGTCACAATCGAATGAAATTAGAAATAAAAGGATTTTTTCACTTCTGATCTTCATCAGTGCGCCAGATGATTTATGAGTTTGTTCGGCTGCCGCTGCACTGGCACCATCTTTTCTTGCGGAAGATTGAGACTGCTGCATAGGCTGCAATGTATGCCAGAACAGGGATGACCAAGTAGATGACATTCCTGGATGTCTCCCAGTCTCTGGTACTGCCTGCTGCATAGGCCCCCAGGAGGCCGAGCATGTCAAGCAAAATAGCTGTGTGCATTGGCCCGAGTGGCAATCGGTATTTGTGGAGAGTCTCTGGCATGAGCAAGATGATGACGACGACGGAAGCCATGAAGGAAGTGGAGTTGCTGTAGAAGAAAGCATGGTACCGGGGTTTGTTGATGTAATGGAGGATGGAGCTGCCAGCAGAGTGACCATCGCTGTTGTCCTGCCACATGCCACCTGGTGGTTTCAGGCCGGTCTGGTAGGTTACACTCGCAGCAAGGACTCCTAGTAGCATCAAGTATTCACGCATGTTCTTCTCTCCTCCTCCTTGCATCTCTCCCTGAGTTTTACTTTCCTGTATCTCTGTCACCTGGTTCTTCTGTTTCGTGCCGTCGTCTGGTTCTGCAGCTTGCCCGGAGGAATCAGCTGCAGCTGCATCGTTGCTGCACCTCCACCACTGATTCCAATGATCTCTTAGGTAGGGGCAAACCCAGAAAATGACTACCTCCAGGGCTACAAAGGCAAACACGGCAACAACCAGCGTCAACACATAAATGGATGTGCGCAGATCCCTGGAGCTCCCAGCGGCATAGGCTCCCATGAGCCCAAACATGCCCACCACCATGCACACGTAGAGCGCGTAGCACCGTATCCCTGGCTTGTACAGGTTGGGGTTCACGAGCAGGACGATGAGAGCCACGGACGCCATGAAGCTCGCCGCGTTGCAGTAGAAGAAGGCCATGTAGCGGGGCCGGTAGTGGTCGTGGAGCACCGGGTAGCCCGCGCGGTGCCCATCTTCATTTTTTGACCAGAAGCCCCCGGGCGGCGTCAGCCCAGCCTGGTAGGTGAGCGTCGCCGCCAGGATGGCCAGGAGCAGCAGCACCTCGCGCCTGTTCTCCAGCTTCTTCTCCAAGTCCGGGTGGTTGTCCTTGTGGTCTAGCGTGAAGAGGACGATGTGGATGACCACGTAGACCAGGACGATCCCCGCCAGGGCAACCACGTAGATGGAGGTCGTTTCGTCCCTGCAGCTACCCGCGGCGTACGCGCTGATCAGGCCGAAGAGGTCCAGGATCATGGCCGCCTCCAGCGTGTGGCCCTTGAGCAGGAATCGGCTCTGGACCATGAGGATCACGATGAGGGACGCCACGAACGCCGCCGAGTTGCTGTAGAAGAACACCTTGTACCGGGTGGGGTGTGTGGTCAGGAGTATCGGGTCACCGTTCCTGTGACCGTCGCGGGTGTCGGGCCACAGGCCGCCTGGTGGGTCCAGTCCTGCACTGTAAGTGATGCTCACCACAAGGGTCGCAAGCAACATGACAAGAGACCGGGCCTTTTCCAGTCGTTCTTTTTCAAGGGCCTTCTCCTTTACCACTGCATCGCTGCCTTGGTCCTGAACCTGATGGATGTCCCTGCAGCAGCTCGTAATTGCAAGCAACATAACAAAGAGTTAGTCCTAATTAACTCCTAAATTGCAACAGATAACTCCTAAATCATTGCAGATACATACCGGCTGCTGATCTGAATCTGATCTGTTTTATTTTGGTCCTGCGATCTGTCAAAGAAGCAACTCCTCAGACGTTTCGAAGCAGAATCATATACAGTTACTCCTAAATTGCTAGCATCAACTCGATCCTTACTGCTGCTGGAAATATACAGCCTGTTGGCTTGCTCGTAAACGATCGTAAATTTCTAGCCGAGAACAGTGTTTTTCTCTCACACCAAACTAGCCAGCAGTAAATAATCCACGATACGATACGGCCTCTCGAACAGGCTGATAATTGAGCAGATATACGTAACGTACCTGCTGCTGATCTGATTCTGCTGATCTGGTGGATTTTGGCCTTGTGATGATCTGTCAAAGCCGCAGCGACTCCTCAGTGCTCCCAGCCATTTCGAAGCAGAACCGTATACCGTTCGGAAGCAGCTGCAGCCAGCTACAGCCACCTGGAGGAAGATGTAGGCAAGAACTCCGGCGATGAGGCAGATGACGTAGGTGGTGTCGTCGAGCTCCCTGCAGCTCCCAGCGGCGTACGCCCCCATGAGGCCCAGGAGCGCCGTGATGATGAGGCCATACAGAGCCACGAAGCGTACAGAGAGCTTGGTGGTGAGCTTCTTGTCGAGGAGCAGGATGATGATGAGCAGGGACGCGACGAACGCGGTGGTGTTGCAGACGTAGAACGCCTGGTAGCGGCTGGAGTAGTGCTCCTGCAGGACCGGGTCGCTCATCTGGTGGCCGTCCTTGGTGTCGCCCCAGAAGCCGCCCGGCGGGTTCAGCCCCGCCACGTACGTGATGGCCACCGCGAAGGTGGCCAGCAGCATCAGCACCTCGTGCAGTTCTTGCCGCTCGGAGGTGGCGGTGACGCTAACACCACCTGCTTGCTTCTCGGCGTCTGCTGCACCTGTTAGTCGCTTCCTACTATGCAGCAGGATCGCTAGCCCGCCTCCATCGCTGGAGAAGAGGTAGAAGATGAAAGCTACGACGATGTAGGCGAAGACGGCGCAGACCAGCAGCGCGGAGTAGATGGTGGTGAACTTGTCCCGGCAGCTCCCGGCGGCGTAGGCGCCCATGAGGCCGAGCAGGTCGAGCACCATGACGACCCGCAGCAGGGCCTCCCAGCCCGTGTTCTTGCCGTCCAGGACCAGGAGGAGGAGGCTGACCACGAGCGACGCGGCGAACGCGGTGGCGTTGCAGTAGTAGAAGGTGAGGTAGCGGTGGAGGTGCGCGTACTGGAGGATCGGGTCGCCCGCGTGGTGCCGCCCGTCGTCGGTGTCCTCCTGCCAGGCTCCCCCCGGCAGGTTCAGCCCGGCGACGTAAGTCACCGTCGCAACCAGGGTGGCGAGCAGCAGCAGGTACTTCCTCAGCTGGTACTCCGTGGAGGAACCTGAAGGAGGCTTAGAAGCAGCAGGCTTGTTGTTGTTGCTGCCCAAAGCTTCATCAGCCACAACCCCAGCCACAGGGGGGGAGTGGGAGTGGCTTTGTGCGCCGCCGGACGCCATTGGACTGAGGGACGAAGCTACTTTGTTGTTGGACGCCAACGCCATTAGCTTATCCGGCTGGTGACTAGCCTGGTAGCAGTGGCAGAAGACGCCTTGACCCTTGAGCAAATGCTAATGCCACGGCTAGCCGGCCTTATCGGCACGGCCGGCAGAATATATAACATGGGCCTTGTTTAGTTTACATCAAAATTCCAAGTTTTTTCACTCTCTCTCCATCACATCGGCCTTATCAAAAAAAATAACTAATTGCCGGCGAGATGAAGCTTAATGGTATAACATGGTGTTCGCTTCTGATTTGTCAATCTAAACATGGCCATGGTGTTCGCTTCTGATGTGTCCTAATAATTGCGCGATGACTCGATCGGGTCGTCGTCTTATTTTATAAAAGTAATGTATTCCATTCCACTCCTTTTCTCCCTAGCTTTGTGTTGGTAATTTAGGACTTATTTAAATTCATGACGTAAAGTTCTTGGTGTCACATTAAGTGTTACATGAGGTGTCGCATGGGGTGTTCGGATACTAATAAAAAAATAAATTACAGACCGCGAGACGAATTTATTAAGCTAATTAATCCGTTATTAGCACATGTGTTACTGTAGCACCGCATTGTCAAATCATGGACTAATTAGACTTAAAAGATTCGTCTCGCAAAGTAATCGTAATATATGTAATTAGTTATATTTTTAGTCTATATTTAATACTTTATGCATATGTCAAATATTCAATATAATAGGATGTAAACTTTTGGAGTGAGGAACTTAAAAAAAAGGCCTTAACGAGCATCGATGATATTCTCATCCTTCTCGGCTCTGTATTCATGAACGATTCCTATTCCTACCTGGCAGTGGCAGTGGGAACGAGCAAAACAACATGTTTTCTCTGCATGCCAGCTTTCTCAGTTTAGAACTGACAAACTTTGGTTCCCATTTCCGAATCCTATTTTTTTCCATCTCTTACTTCAAGTTGAATTACCATTTCTTTCTAGCTACTGTATTTTAGTTGTTGATGAAGAACTGTAGGGGTTTCTGAAAATACAGTATATATGAATTTCCAAGTTGAATTACAAGCATCATGGAAGCTTCTTAACCCAACATCTTTTTCAGGCCGAAGGAGGAGCGCTAGCTGTTGTCTTAACTGGATTTTTTCTTAATCTATATGTGACCACCCATCAGAGAAGACTTGCGTATTTTGTGTTCACCACATTCCATGAGCTGCACACGATGTATAAACACTACCTACACCCCAAATGCAATTTATTTCAAATGTTGGCACGTTCACCTTCCACTCTCTGAAGCTTCAATCATTCACATCAAATAAACTGTCCTAAACAAAAAAAAAGCATGCTATCCGGTGATTAGAGGAGGCAACTTGAGATAGTTCCGTGAGCAATATTATAACTATACTTAACGCTTGTTTAATTCCTCACCTAAAGTTTAGTCTCTATCACATGGTATATTTGGAGTATTAAATATAGACTAAAAAATAACTAAATGCACAGATTGCGACTACTTTTCGAGACAAATTTTTTAAGCCTAATTAGTCAATGATGTGACAATGTGATGCTACAGTAACATGTGCTAATGAGGGATTAATTAGACTTAATAAATTCATCTTGTGGATTACTGAGGACTTATGTAAATTGTTTTATTATCACTATCTGAATACTCATATGTGACACCCCGTTTGATACCCGATGTAAAATCCTTAAACTTTATATTATATGCATGAATATGATATCAGCTGCACATGTCATGTGCTGACGCATCCAGTATGAGTAACGCAGAAAAGGCTGCACCGCTACAATTGGACTCTGCAACACCACAAAGGACTACACTGATTGGTGGTGCGTTCAATGAGATGCCAGCTGTGATGTTCAGTACTCTTGGTTGGTGTTCGGGTAAATGCCCTGTTTCCTGGAGACGCTACACCGCTGCAGGAACGTAGGAGTAGTACAGTTGATCATGCAGTGAGCGTGAGTGGCAAATTCAATGCTTGTGACTTTCTGAGGTGGCGTTTAGGCCCCATTTAGATGCAACCAAAACTTAAATTTTTTTAAGATTCTCTGTTACATCGAATCTTATAGCATGTGTATGGAGTACTAAATGTAGATGAAAAAAAAATTAATTACACAGTTAGCCGAAAAATCGTGAGACGAATCTTTTAAGCCTAAATAATCCATAATTGGACAATGTTTGTCAAATAAAAATAAAAATGCTACAGTAGCCAAAAGCCAAAAAAATTTTGAAGTAAACGGGGCCTTAGATGCAGGCCATGTTTAGGCCCCGTTTAGATTCCAAAAAATTTTGCGTAGTATCCGTCACATCAAATCTTACGGTACATGCATGGAGTATTAAATGTAGACGAAAAAAACTAATTGCACAGTTGGGTGAGAAATCGCGAGACGAAACTTTTGAACCTAATTAGTCCATAATTAGACACTAATTGCCAAATACAAACGAAAGTGCTACAGTAGCCAAAATCCAAAAAAATTTGGATCTAAACAGGGCCTTAGTTCCCCCGTTTTCCAGAATTTTGCACTATACAAAAAGAAGATTCCCCGTCACATCAAACTTGTGGTACATGCATGGAGTATTAAATGTTGACGAAATCAAAAACTAATTGCACAGTTTGGTTGTACTTTGCGAGATGAACGTTTTGAGCCTAATTAGTCAACGATTGGACAATTATGACCAAATAAAAACAAAACGACAGTGTAGCTACAGTGATTCGACCGGCGCCGAATCGGCCGAACTAAACGCGGCCACAGTCGTAAAGTCCTGGTGTTAGATGTCGCAAAAGATATTGAGATACTAATAAAAATAATAAATTATAGAATTCGTTCGTAAACCGCGAGATAAATTTATTCGGCCTAAATTTATTCAGCTACTGTAGCTTGTACTAGCTTGCTGGAAGTATTCGGTACTACTCCCTCTATCCACATAAGAATGCAATTACGATAAACGTGTCAGTCAAACTAGCTCAATTTTGACCAGATTCATAGTAATAGTATTTGCATTTATATCTCTAAATAAATTTATTACAAAAATATATTATATAACTAATTTAATGGTACTTATTTTGTCTCAAGAGTGTTAGTTCTTTTTTTAAATAATCTTAGTCAAAGTTGAAACTATTTGACTTCTCGATATATAAGAATTACATTTTTTTTTGGAGGGAGTGAGTACTATCTTTTATTATTACCATGATCCCAATCATCTATCTTTCGATCGTCATGTGTCTTTTAGTTACGTGCAAAAGCTTGAGCCCATCTTTATAAATTCTCAAATTATTTTAAATTTGACTATATAAGTTTATAAAAGACAATATCAAAAATTATATTCTAAATAGGTATACTATGTGTTCCATGATGAATGATGCTACATATTTGTCTAAATATGGTCCAACTAAAGATAGATATAGTAAAAGCTCCACCAAATTGAGAAAAAAGATTCCCCTAAAACTAGTTAAAGGGGTATTGGGTTCCATAACCATAGTTGGCCCCCCTCCTTCCCACAGTCACGATGTCACCGTTAGGACAGTCCGGGATGTTTACTTTTGTTGGGAACCCGAGGGCCAACACCAGTCTTCATTTCGGTTGGATTGGCTTATAAACCATGATTGAAAGTACTGTTGGTTGGTTTGGTGTGAGAGAAAAATATTATTCGTTGACTGATAAGCTAAGGCTTATAAGCTAGATACGTGCAGGGATGGGCCAGCGGCTGAGCCAGGAGATGTGATCCCACTTGTAGGTGGCTTTGACGACTTGCTGCTACGAGATGTGACCTGCTCTGAATTAATTGTTGTTTTTTAAGAGTTAAATTAATTGTTGTTCTGAATTAATTGTTGTTTTTAAGAATTAAATTAATTGTTGTTCTGACATGATGCTTGCTGCTGCGGCGCTGATACATGTTCGTTTCGCTGAAAAGTCAGATTAAAAAGTATTGTTCACTGATTTGTTGTGAGAGAGAAAATACTATACCATGGCCAATAAACAAATAGAAAATGGAGCATCGACGTACAATTGCTAAGTTAGTGAACCAGAGTCTTTTATTTTAGGGCGTGGCTACCGTCCGGACGTCCGGATGCTAGCCCCCGTCTAGACGCTCACACCTGTCTCACCTGTTGCGCTCACCCCGCATGTCTGATCATGCTGCACCTGTCGCCGCCTGCCTCGCTTGTCCCGCATGTGGCTACGACTGTGCGCCTGCCTGCCCGCCCCCACATGGTGCTGCACGTACGCATGGAAGCCCGTGCCTGCTGCTGCACGTTTCGCTTTGATCCGTGCTGCGCGTCCGTACATGCAGGTGGGGACCAGATCTACTTTTGCAACATCCAGATAAAACATATGCAACATTAAGATGAAACATATGAAACATACATCTGAAACGCATGAACATAATACGACTGCTGATGAAAACACTTGCAACATGAATCACTTGCTGCAACATACATTTTAAATAGGTGAAACATTAGTTGCAACATATGTGTATAGCCACTGCAACATATACAACATATAGATAAAACACTTGCAACATACGTTTGAAACAGATGAAACATACACTTACAATATACGTGTATAGCCATTGCAACATATAAAAACATATAGATAAAACACTTGCAACATACGTCTAGAATAGATAAAATATTTGAAACATATACTTGCAACATACGTGTATAGCTAATGCAACATACACAACATCCAAATAAAACACATGCAACACCAGATAAAACATACATTTGAGATGTATGAAAACATACGAAACTCGATGCCATTGAGTGACGGAAAAATTTAGGCTAGCACTCAGCTGCCATCCGTCACAGAAGCAGCAAACGACGCATGCAGATGTGGGCCCGCGCTCCTCTCGTGAACAGACAAGCGGTCTGGCCAGCCCTACAACTGGCTAATCTTGTCGGCCAAAGTAGCAATGCTGTAGACAGCATGCGGCAGGAGCAGCTTGCCCTAGACATAGACAACACACAGAGAGAAAAGAGCAGGACGACAAGCAGCAACAGGCCTAGACGCTAGGCAGCAGAGGGCAGGCGTG